AGAAATCTTACCCAGTCACAAAAATAATGTCCAACCATGTGATCGAATACGCGTACGCATCACGCGTCCGAAATCCACGAAAACATCGATCTGAGAAACAATAGATAAAGTAGATGGTACACGAAACCCATGCCATAACCAGATATGACTAGTGAATCTCCGGTTACCAGACTCTGAACTGATGAATCTCGGTCAGCAACTGGTCCAGATCTCGCAAGTCAACCCAACAACCCACCTCAGCAGCACCACCAACCACTACCCTAACTCACCACCAACAACACAAAATCCACCACACCCAACAAACCAACAAAAAAAATAACAAACACAAAACGTCAAATAACAACAAGATAAGAGTACCGTATATCAGGTCGATCACATGCACATTCAATTAGCAAATAATGAAATGGAACAAATAATCTAGAACAACAACAAGATGTCGATGAAATGCATCTCGAATCCTACAAAGTAGATGAAATGCACCCTGATGGTGGCATGGTACAGGCAATAGGTGATGTATGATGTTGATGAACAAAAAATTAGAAATAGGTGACAGACCCAACAAATTAAAGGTGAAATTTTAATAAGCAGCAAAAAAAAAACCACACATAATGAAGTGACGGCACACCAAATCTCACCAAACCAGTGATGGTCGCCATCCATGCGAAGATGGATGACAATTACATGATGAAAAATCTATGAAACACAAAACCCAAAAAACCAGACAAACAAAAATACAACAAAGTAAAACGTCTGCTAATTTCCTAAGCACACACAGCATTTCGCACCATGTTTAATACCATTGATCGAAAGGTCAATTCTCGCATCGATTTGACTGAACTCATCCCTAGGACTAATTTGCATAGATGATGCTGAAGGGAAGTAAAAAGAAAAGTGGATGGCATACCAAGCAGATACAGAAAAAAAATATACTCATTTGGAGAGATAGAGAATAAAAGTCCACCTGGCACAGGTTTACAAACAAGAAACAAAAATAAAAAATCAAAAAAAACAAAAAAAAGACGAACAAAAACCAAAATGGAGGAAACGTTAAAGACAAGATCTCATACCACACCAACACGCAATGCTAAGCAAGAAAGGTGACTGATCCAGACTAAGGAAGGCATGAACGAATCGCTATAAAATGAAGGTCTCAGAGAGGAAAAAAAAAAAAGAGGAAAGGGCAATCAAACCTCCCGCACAAAACGCTCCGTAAAACCTCCCGTGACAAATGGTACCCTACCTTGTTGGTCGGGTTCTTAAATACTGTAAATTCAGATCTCACTGGAGCACAAACCAAAAACCATTGAGCTATATTATACTTAAACATCATGCAAAGCCAGAACGTGAGGAATTCACAGACCAAGCCGAGCAGTAGGTTACTGAATGTGTAAGCCCAACAATGTGGGGAGTAACAGAAGGCGATGGAGTAAACGGTCGGACCGAATAAGTTAACGCGGCTCAAAGACAGTGAGGGAATTATCAAACGAAACCAATCACGTCTTAGAACACAACTGCCCAGACCCGGCGACCAGGCCCTGTGTCTCCCCGGCACTGCTGGAGGAAGCTGGCCTGCTCACCACACTGTGTCAGTCGTTCCCGCTCCCCAGAAAAAGGAACTCAGCAAGCCAGGAAACAGGGACCCACAGACACCGGATAAAAACAAAAAAGGTCACAACAAGCATCCGCCATAATCAAAGTATTGAGTTCCCGTTCAGTCGTAGTCACGTGTGATGTGACACATCCAGACCTCAAAGGAGAGAGATGTCAGATGTACATAACAACAATCCTGTAGAAATTATTGTAAATGTATTAGAGAATATCAACTCAATCGACATTAATCCAAAGGATAGTATACCACAGTTGCTTTGTCCTTGATCACACAGTGCAAGGGAAGAGGAGAACAAGGAGGACAACATTCAGGTTCATTACTAGGTATTCCACTCTGTAAAGCACAACAGAGGACAAAGCTGGTAGTCATATATATTCTACATGCAAACACGATAAGGTGCAGCTGACCTCATGCAAGCCGTGAACAGGCCGCCAGCCTCGGTAGGCCAGTCATCCATAAGGGATGAGAATATTATATCTGAATAACTTAGAAATCGGAAGTGAATAGGGAAACGAGAAGCAGATTAAACCGGAGAAGAGACGTGCACTCCTCTCGCTTTCTGTGGTTTAAAGCCAAGATGGCGGTCTTAAATGCTGAGCCCAACTTAAACATAATATAAGTTGCTGCGGTGTTATGCTGCCAGGGGAACGTACGAATGTATACCTTTAAATTTATAATAGATATCCTGAAGACACAATGACTATATACAAAAAAATATAATATGAGTGGCTATAAATATGGGATAAGAATAGCCATCAAGAGCAAAATGAGAACATATAACTGAGATGCTACATGTGCAAACGTCCCTGAACTTCATGTAGAACAGGACACAGCTAGAGTGTTTGTAAAGTACTTAAATTAGGCAACATCTATATATCACAATAGAAGATAGGAAGCGGGCACAAGACCGATACCCAAGGAGCTATAGAAGATATATAATCAGGTGGGTGACCTAGCGCCAGGCTGTTCCGGCAGCTCTCTGGGCCCTTGCCACCCTTGAGATCGCTCCACATACAATATAACTAATGACTAGAGCAAAACAATAATAAGTGTTACAAACACCGAACGAAGAGTAAATGAGCTCCGAACTCAATAGCTAACAAAAAAAAGTACAAATAACAGAAACTAAGGCAAGAGACGATCTGATCGAACCATAATATCAGAGGCCATCCCCGTAACTTAGCCCCTCACTTGAGCTCCACCTGCTAAGCTCTCTTAATACCTGCTGTAAAGAAAACACCTCTCAACCGAATTCTAGCTACACCCCTGACGCCCAAATACTTAGTAAGAGCTCACAATTAGAAGCAGACAGAAGTCATTATATACTATTAGAGACCCACGATCCAATAATCCTAAGACTAAATACCAACACTAGGGAGCTGCGGAGCTAACACACCTCACAGGCCAGTAAAACTTACACCTCCAGGCACAACCAGAGAGCTGCCTCACCCTGCCCCATGCACGCCACACGCCCACAAGTGCTGAGTAACTGGCAAGCAACGAGAGGAGCCCCAGGAGACCCCGCAACTCCCAAGGCCTGGAAAACCCAATCTCCTTTAAGGGCAACAAAAGGATAAGGCAAAAAAAAAAAACTGAGATCATGAGATGTGCCGAAGGGGTCAACACAAAAAACAACGCCCTGTAGAACCTGTTCTATCACATCACAGCCGTATTTCACTACATACAGGAAAAATAGATAACTAGTACCGCGCGAGGATGTTAGCGATGGATTGAAAAAAATAATTTAACACAATGACTTCACAGGGAGAAAACAGTAATCTAGCGCCGAATGAATTACGTAATAAAATAATAATAAGACAAAAAATATTACCATTTTTAAATTTTTATTTTGACTTTATTTGAAGAGGACCCGTTTCTAGGCATTTCTGGCTTCTTGGATCTAATCATATCAAAGGAGCCATCAGATCTGACAAAGATTGGTTTTAAACGTAATGATACGTCAAATACCTGAAGGTGGGAAGGAGGAGCGAAGAGGGACCGAAATAAAGGCAATGGCCTTCTACACCTCATAAATTCAAGGAGTATTAAAAAGCAAAAAACAAAAAATACATGTATTAAGGAAACAAGTAGCAAGACCGGAAAATAAGGTGCAATCACTAATGCACACGTGAGGAATGACAGAGTAAGGATACGGCAGACAGAAATGTCAACACAAGAGACAACAGTAATTCAAGCAAAAAATCGCAAAAACCGATTAATTACTCCAGACCCACTATATTTGCAAGGGAAAGTGGAGGGAGGATAGCAGGATGAAGCAGGACACAGCAAAGCTACATTTGGACTAGAATCCAACTAGAACAGAATAGCGGAGCAAAATAGGAGTGGGATAAGAGGAATGCAGAGAGCACTAGAACATAAGCGAGAGCCAAGCTAGGGCAGACATAGACATAACCAAACTACAAGTCTCCCAAGCCAAACTGGAACAGATGTATAGGATCAAACACTCAATGCAGGCAGTAATAGCCTACCGGCATCTGAATTGACACACTAAGAGTGAGGCGAAAGGCCCCGTATGTACCTATACTACCAACTGCTAGGAAACAAAAGTCATGTCCACTGCACAGTCTAAAGGACTGAAGTACTCCAAAGGAAAAACTTGGCATCAAGTGCCAGCTGGGAAAATGTACCTATCATGGATAATAGAATCATCTCGGATACTTAAAACAACTGCTCCACAAAATAAATAAAAAGAGCAGAAATGCTTCTTACTGCATAGTGAACAAGCAAACATGTGAAGCACTTACAGTAAGCACCATGATGCAGCACATCCTAAGGCAAAGAAGGCATCGGAGAAGAGGGTTAACAACCAGGAGAAAAGGGGATCATCGCAACAACCGCATGAGCCAGACCCTAAAACCACAGCACCACAGCCACCAAATGTCCCGTAGTGAAGCCACCAGAGACACATGCACTGTAGCAAACACACCACTACGAGCCCTGCCTAGATCTCCCTGACCAGGGAGCAAACTCATTCCTGCGCTGCTGACAAAGGCACGGAGACATCTCTAAAAGGCCATTGTTCCAGC